CAGAAGGAAAAGGGATGTAACAGGAGGGAGAGGGACGGAGTGCAGCGGACGCAGCGAGAAAGAGCAGAAAACATGAGGAGAGGGCAGGAGGCCCAGCCGCACAGTTCACACACCACGAGACGGCATCCACGCAACGAAGACACACAACGCCAGCAGTCACCCACCATGCAGAAGGACAACACATCCACCACCATCTCCTCCCAGCTCATCGCCACAGCCCCAGGGAAATGGCAAAAACCCCGCGGCCACCACACAACACACACGGAGCAGGCAATCACCACACCAGCCACACGCGCCAGTGGACCCTCATCCATCCATGACGCGGCAACAAAATTTCCAGCCATCCCGCCCTCAATGGGACACGGAGCCCAACTCAACGCAGTCACACGCGGTGCATCACACCCGCAGAAAAGGAGACTCGGGCTGCGCACTCCCTCCTCACTTCTCCTCATAGCCACGGAAGAAGACAACAGCCGCCACACGCAACTGCCAGCATGCACCACAAAAGAAGCATTCAAATCCACTGCAATGTGCATCTTGTGTGTGTGGTTGTGTGTGCCTGCAGAAACACAAAGCAGAAAAGTAGAAAAGAGAGCAGAGTGTGTGGAGAAACACACAAAAATGTGCAGCAGAGACGCATGGCGGAAACAACAACAACAAGACCGCTCAAACTCACGATTCCACTGCAGCCCAAGCAGCGGCAATTAACACAAGATTTATCCAAAACTAACAAAAAAAAACGTCCCCCTTCGTCTCATACAAACCCCATCACACAAAATAATTATAAATGAAAAAGAAAAGAAAAACACGGCGGCAGGGTGTGGCTGTGTGTGTGGCGCTGCGGGTGTCTGCCCGCCCTGGCCGCAAGAAAGCAAAACAAGAGGGAAGAAATGTGTGCTCCGCCCCACAGGCCCTCGTCGCACGCCCACACGTCACGGCTCCCTCAGCGCGCCGTTCGTCGCGGCCCCTCCCCATGCGTGCAGCAGGCGAGGCGCACAGGGCCGTCGTCGTGAGCGTGTCGGTGGGTGTGCGAGTGGAGCAGTTGGGCGGAAACACACGGCACCCCTCACAGGAAGAGTGCAGCAACAAACAATTAAAAGAGGGAAGAGTAGAAAAGAAAAAAACGTCCATCGTGATTGCCCCAAAAGCAAAAAAGAGAAGGGATGGGGGAGATAATAAAAAGTAAAAAAAAACGCAAAACAAAAAACAAGAAAGTAGAAAGCAGCAAATAAATTTAAAATACGCAAAAAAAAAAAAGATTTATGAAGGAAATTCGTTCCCATGGGAAATTAATTATGTGGTGGGGAGGTCGCAAGTGTCCCACGCGGCAGCCATTCACTCCTCACAGAGCCGTAAATCCCCACAGTCCCAGCAGGAAAAGAAGCAGAAGCAGCAGTCCGCTTCCGCAAACAGTGCTGCCATCGCCATTTGCCCCAAAGTGACGAGCGGTACCGACACCCGATGCCCCTCCCGCCAAGGATTCAGAAGAGCGCTTCGGGCGAGACACAGCAGGTGAAGAATTACGCGCAGCCACTGGCGTTGGAATATTAATTTTGTTTTTGGCAAGCCCTGCAATCTCTTCGAAGCTCAACGGACGGTTGTACAGCAGGACGTTCGTCACAGTCACAGATGCACCTTCGTCACCCCCTGTGTTCCCTGCATTGCCTCCATCCTCTCCAATGAAGAAGTGAGAGATCATTTTCGATTTTGTATTTTCCAAGTTACTTTGCAAACTCTCACACACACGCTGACCATCGACGTAAACGGAGCCCTGGATGCCGTTCTGTAGCACAGTTGCCACTTGGTACGTTGCCCCCTGCTCCCAACTCCTGCTGTGCTCCGACGTCTTTTCGCCACTGTGCAACAATTCCCACCTCTTTTCTCTGTTGTACGACAGTCCCAGGAGTACAGTATTCTTATCGCCATCATTCACCTTCGCACCCATCAATGGAATGGAGTTATCTCCGTCCTTTGGCAAACCGTGGATGGACACCGTCGCCACAAGAGTGAAGTTGTAATTCGCGAAGTGGTACAGCTGATTCTGCCCCTGCGCGCCAACAGGCCACTCCGCCCACGCACCACGCCCTTTAAATGTTACGCCATTTTCCTTTTTCTCCACCCCATCATTCTTCTTTACTGTGGCGTTCACGCCGAGGTACTCGTCCCTCCATGTGCCATCAGAGAACTTGCCGGACAAAAAGCCAACCAGCCCATCCGTCGGAATGGCGGCGCCGCAGGCAGTGGCAGGTGAGGGATCCTCCTTAGCATTCTCAGAAGGGCACAGCTTGGAGACACGTTTGTCCACTTCATTCCATGTCTTCAGCACCTCCTTCACCCGCTCCAGCTGCGTAGTCAGAATCACAGAGACCATACCGGGTGATGTTTCTTTCTCACCGCCCTTCTTCTCGTAAAGTGCAATCAACTCCTCCTTCTTATCATCACCATCCTTACCACTTCTGTACAACAGGGAGCTGGCGGCAGCGTCCTCATCATCGGATACCGGCCCAATATCAACAATGTGCGTATTGTCCGTCAGCCAAAGATGGAGTACACTTTTTCCATTGCTGTTTCCATTTTTCTCTTTTTTGGAGTAGACCGGCAGAGTGACGAGCATCACATCCCTGTTATCAATCTTCGCTGTGATGAACCCGCTTCCAACGGCCTTCTCAATTCCGCCCTTTTTGCTGCCCCACACGCGCGAGAGGGTCCCGAGTGCCTCCGTCCACGACTCCCCCTTGTCACCGGACTCGTACACCCTGCGAGGGCCGTCATCACACGCAGTCATCATCATGAGTTTTTTGTCCTTCTCCCACTCCACGACGGAGGGAACACTGCAGCCATCGTCAGACATCCCCTTCGACAGCGTCCAAGTCGCAATGTCTGAGGAGTATATGATCAGCGAAACGTTCTTCCCATTATTCTTCGTCCCTTCCACTGGGAACACAAGCGTACCGTCATTTATATTAACACCCGATCCACCGCCGCCAATCAGTCCTGTCAAGGAGTCCTGTTTGCCAAAAAGACCCCACGGTAGACCGTAAGTATCGTTCCAACAAATTCTTTTGTCCTTTCCTCCCTCATCACTGAGTTCTCCTTTCACCAGCAAGAGTCCCCATTGAACCCCATCAGTCGCATTGCCAGCAGCAACTGCAGCGGCAGCACTTTCACTGGTGTATTTTCCCGCAAGCATGTAAATATCTCCTCCATTCACAACTGTTGTTGGTCGGCTCACATGTACTTTCGTGTCACTTTGGGAAACGACACCTTCCTGTTTTTGATAGGTGCAACGCCCATCTTTGAAATGACATTCATCCGGTGCTTGGATCTTTAATTTACTCATGTCCAACAATTTTGATGAGTCATCACTCAATTCCAGGAGCTCCGAGGCAATCCCAGTAAAACCGCTGTTACTGGCTTCCGTGCACTTCGCCTCGACAACGGCAAATACATCACCACTCACCTCAACAAGACTGGGAACACGGAGCGAGCTCACTGTTTTTCCTCCATTCTTATCTCTCCAATCAAAGTATGGCTTTGGTGAAGATTCCTGATTTAACGCTGTCCCATCAGCCTGTGCACCTCCACCAGTGCTGCAGCAAATCATCACGAAAAGGAGGAGCAGCACCGCGGAAGCAAACACACGCCGGGACATGTTGGGCCTCTGCGGCTCACTCTCTCTTCCTTCCCTCCTCATGCCGCTGGATCCGGTCACGCGGCGACGGTTGTGTGTGCGGGGTGCCCTCACTGCAGCAACACGTGAGAGCATACAAATATGTGTGTGGGCGGTGTGTGTGTTGCTGGTCCTTTCAGTGCCTTCGAATTTCACAGTAGCGTTTGGCGCTAGTTTTCCTTCTTCGTGTGTAATTGAGAAAGGAAAGATATAGAGGAAAAAAATACCAACACAAAAAGTACAACAGTGAGCACCGCCACCCATCCACTGTGAGTGGCACCATCATCCCCGCCGCAGCCACTCCCAACAACAACAACTCACGCACACAGACACAAGGAACAGGAGAAGGAAGAACAGTGCACCGGGAACACACAGCGACGGTCGCCAACAGCAGCAGCAGGAGTCACGGCGGGAGTGACGTTACGCGTCAGCACACACTGAGCAACGCCCAAACACAAAAAACAACCAACAATATCCAAAAAAGCAGAGTCTCCCTCGCAGCACCCACGCGCTGCCACCAGTCCTTTTACTGTTCACCCTTCCGGCGCACCCTCCAACGCACATCACCCCGCACAGGCGAAGAATCCCTGAACAAAGTATACACAGCATAGGAGATACACATTGGCACGTGCAGCAACTGGACGAGAAGCAATTCGCACTTGTCCCAGGCACCCTAACCCACACCATCCAATAGACTGCACACCTGCAACGCGTCAAAAAATAAATCACAGGCTCCCGTCCTCCCTCCTCGCTAGGGACGTCGCAGCCAGAATCTTGTGCGTGCGTCCGTTCTCAGCAATCACGCCGCTCTACAGCGTATGCATAATGGCGTGTGTGTGTGCATGTGTTTGTCAAACCCAGTACATGCAGAGCAGCTGTGCGCCACAAGAGAGTCTGAAGAAAGCAACGGCAGAGAGAGGCAGATAGCACACACGCAAATTACTCATATCATCATACACACACACGCAGCCGTGGAATGGGTGCACTCAAACACAAAATCAAAAAGGAAAGCAAAACAAAAAGCCGAAGCGTGGGACGACCAGCGCACACACACTCTCACTGCTCCCGTAAAGCAAAACACACACACACAGAGAGAGAGAGAGAGGTCGCCCACTCAATGCAATAAAAAAAAAACAGAAACAGTTACGGTGCTCCGCCCATGCAGCCAGGCAGGACGGCAGCGGTGCGTGTCGTGCAAAAGAGAGCACCAACGGGCCTGCATGGGTGTGCATGCATATATACAATGGGCACATTATTGTGTGTGCCTCGTGGGGTGAGGTGAGGGCGAGAGTCCATGCAAGGGGACACACACACAGAGAGAAGGAAGAGTGTGTGTGCGGGCGGTGCACGGCTCTCTCTCCCTCACTCTCACGCGGCCACCACCGCAGCCACAGCCGCACACGCAAGAAGAAGAGGCAAAAGAGGGGAGGTGGTGTGGGAGACCGCGGTGCTGCCGTCACTGTTTTGTGTGCTCGTCGTATCAGTTGTGTTGGCGGTTGCTGTCGTTGCTTTTCTATCTTCCCCAGTCCCTTCTGAGCCTTCTTCTCGGTGGCTTTGTGGTGTGGCCGCGGTCTCAGGCGACGGAACTTTTTTTCCGCCTTCACTCGTGGTGTCTTTGCCATCCTGTTCGCGGGAATCAACACCGTCTTCTGGAGGTGGTGAAGGATTTCCTCCCGCAACTCCCGCAGACAGTGTTTGCTCTCTGTTAACTGTTGTGAGTGCGTTCTCTGCAGGTGTATTCTTGTCGGGCTCCTTCTTTTCTTCAACTTCCGGTTGCGTAGGATTGGCATTTGATTCCTGACCGCCGGAAGGAGAAATGCCCCCTGAAGGTGCAATTGACTGGTTCTTTTCCTGCCCGCTGCCACTTAAATTCTCTTTCCTGGAATCTGAGCCTATTGCAGCTGTTCCTCCTTTACCACCCCGCCCTTCAGTACTTTCTTCTTCTTCAGCCTCCGTCTCTTCATCATCACCACCGTCATCTCCTTCATCACCATCTGCATCCCCATCTTGAGGAGGGGAAGATATTGGTGATACTTCCTCTTTAACAACTGTTACTCCATTTTGTAAGCCTTGGGAGCCTACTCGAGGCGTTACAAGTGATTTTGAACCTTGTGGAAGTTCATCCCCACTCACACGACCTGCCGCCTCCCCTTCATCACACCTACCGCCGGCACCGCACCACAGCACGCAGAGGGCACACACCAGCAGCACACGGCCAGTCATCATCATCGCCATCACTCCCGTCACTTGCGTGCAGCCTTCAGCACAAACTAACAACACGTCAACGCAGAGTGAAAGCAAAGAGGAGACAAGTCACACAGCCACGCGCCGTCCAATCCAGCAATAAGAGTCACGCACCACCACAACAATAATTAGGTGGGCGCCGTTCAACAACAATCAAAAAAATAGGACTGCTCCTCGCCGTGCACCTTTTCTCACATCCCCACAGTCACCATTACTATTATTTTCTCTTCCCTCAGTCCCTCCAGCACAGGCCTCGGGATCGTCGGGCCCTCCCAGCACAGGCAGTCCGTCATGCGCTCGCGCTGCGCCGTAACGTCCACCTCCTCCCAGTCAAACAGCTCCGTGTCCACCACGGCCCTCACAATCGCCGGCATGCCCCGGCTGCGCAACACCCACAACGCCACAATGTCGTGCTGCCCCTCCTCCAAAATCATGAGTGCAGCGCCCAACGCGTACTGGCCCACGTGCTCCATGCGCTGCAACCACACACGGATCAGGTTGGCCGTCATGCACTGCATGTTGTTGTCCTTGTTGTACTTGTGGCACCACAACGTCGTGTGGCCAGCGACATCGCAGTGCTGGAAGAAGTACGACGCAGCAACCGTGCGGATGTCCGTGTGGCTGTAATCGACCTGCTGCAATCACTCCCACAGAGAGACAAGGAAGTGTGTGTGGATGTGTGCCGAGAACACAGCGACTGTCATTGCCAGAGGAGGCCATCGTGGCACCGTCCGTCACGCGTCAGCACACAAGGAGCAACACACGCACCCGCAGAGTAAAATCAACGAGGAGAGGAGAATGACCCCAAGAGCAGGCAACACCTTCACGCATGGCGGGCATCGTGCAAACGCGTCAGCCGGCCACCAGCACAATGCAAAAGGCGTCCCACACACATCCATCCAATGGCACCGTGATTCCCACCGTAGGCAGACACGCAGCGGCCTCGCCGTGTCGGCACGGATAGCAAGCCAACGTCCCACCGTCACCAAGAGCATTCCTGCATAGCACTGTGCAACTAAGTATATGTGTGTGTGTGTGTGCTGGAGAAGCAGAAAAGAAGAGGAGCACAGAGAGGCACATCAACACAGCAAGAGGCACAGCTGGAGGGCAGCGATACATGCGGTACGGCCCCAACCTCAACAATCACGCACGGTGACAGCACACACCCATCGAATAAAAAACGAAAAAAAGAAAAGAAAAACACGGCGGCAGGGTGTGGCTGTGTGTGTGGCGCTGCGGGTGTCTGCCAGCCCTGGCCGCAAGAAAACAAAACAAAAGAGGGAAAAAAATGTGTGCTCCGCCCCACAGGCCCTCGTCGCACGCCCACACGTCACGGCTCCCTCAGCGCGCCGTTCGTCGCGGCCCTCCTCATGCGTGCAGCAGGCAAGGCGCACAGGGCCGTCGTCATGAGCGTGTCGGTGGGTGTGCGAGTGGAGCAGTTGGGCGGGAAACACACGGCACCCCTCACAGGAAGAGTGCAGCAACAAACAATTAAAAGAGGGAAGAGTAGAATAGAAAAAAACGTCCATCGTGATTGCCCCAAAAGCAAAAAAGAGAAGGGATGGGGGGGTGAGAGATTAGAAAAAGAGGATTAAATATATATATTAAAGAAAACAAGAAAAAAGAATGTTAAAAACAGTTACGGTTCTCCGCCCATGCAGCCAGGCAGGACGGCAGCGGTGCGTGTCGTGCAAAAGAGAGCACCAACGGGCCTGCATGGGTGTGCATGCATATATACAATGGGCAAATTATGTGTGTGCCTCGTGGGGTGAGGTGAGGGCGAGAGTCCATGCAAGGGGACACACACACAGAGAGAAGGAAGAGTGTGTGTGCGGGCGGTGCATGGCTCTCTCACACTCACTCTCGCGCGGCCACCACCGCAGCCGCAGCCGCACACACAACAAGAAGAAGAAGCAAAAGAGGGGAGGTGGTTTGGGAGGCGGCTTTGATGCCGTCACTGTCGCCAGGCGTCGTGTCATTTGTTTGGACGACAGTGACTGTTTCTGGTGTTTGCTGTGCAGTCTCACTGAACGTGGGAGCAACGTTGGTATTATCATCTTCGGGGTTGTTGTGTGCTTTTTTCTTGTTAGGTCGTTGATCATCGTCAGTATTTCCATCCACCGTACTCTGAGCATCTTCACTGCCACTTGTAGAGATGGATGGTGCTGTTGTTACTCCTTGGCTGTTGGCGGATGCATTCGTCATCGAATCCGATGGGACCGTAACGTGACCGTGTTGTACTGCCACTTCATTCTTTGAAGGGAATTTTGTTCCTCTAGACTCGTTTTGCGACTGTGACGTTCCGTGTTTTTGTCCTGTTGAAGTCTCTGATTTTGTTGCTTCTGGCGGAAGTCCTCCTCCTTCGTCTCGATTTCCCTGTACTTGCGATCCTTCTGGTAGCCGTACTGCTGGTCCTGCTGGTGTGCTGCTGGCGTTATGCGGCAGGTTGAAAAGGCGTTTCCCCTCAACGACACTCTCTTTTGCCTCTTTTTTGCTTGTCTCCTCATCAGTAACTTGGCGTTCTGCTTCTCCTTGTGCACTAAAAGTCTGTGGCTCATCTTTGGGTTTTGATTCCTTCCGTGCGTCCACGTTGAGTGGTGCAATCCGTAAAGAGACTGTTGGTTCTGGCCACCCACTTCTTTCTGAAGATTCCAGGTTCTGTGCGGATGACGCACTGCCCGCAGCAGGGGTTGAGGGCGGAAGAGCAACACCAGAAACAGGGAACTTCAAAGACTCAACCCCAGGAGTGCCTCCTCCTCCTCCTCCAATTCCCTTTCCACCTGGGACAGAACCTGTGCCACCACCGGAGCCTGAACCGTCAACAGCAGGTGGCTTGCCATCACCAGAAGAGGAAGAAGAATTCAAAGTGGGGCCTTCACCTCCGTTAGAACTTTCACCTAATTTAGAACCTCCACCAGAAATGACACCGTTTCGGCTGCCACCAGATGCTGGTGGTGGTGGTGGTTCGTTACTTCTTGGCTGTCCTTCGGCTTGCGATGGTAATACTTCTCCATCCTTCACCGTACCTTCGAGTGATCCTTCATTTTCCTTTTCTTCTTCTTCTTCGGAATGATCCCGATCCTCTTCTTCTACCTTGACTTGTCTTGTTGGTTGTATGGCCGAATCATCATTCTTGCGGGCATTCTTTCCTTGCTGTTCATGCAACCGTGGCACCACTGCTTCGGGACCACTTACGTCCCTCTTTCCTGCTTCCCTCGCCTGAGAATCAACCTGTAGAGCCTTCGATGATTCGTCTTTTATTCCGACCTCTCCAATAACATCACCGACCGCCACCACTGCAGCACCGCACCACAACACGCAGAGGGCACACACCAGCAGCACACGGTCAGTCATCATCGCCATCACTCCTGTCACTTGCGTGCAGCCTTCAGCACAAACTAACTCCCCGTCAACGCAGAGTGAAAGCAAAGAGGAGAGAGACACGGCACAGTAAAAAACACCGCCGGCAGCGCGCGTTTCATGAGAAATATTGAACCAATAAAAGTGCAAAAGACGCACAACACCCTGCAAAAATTTAACAACGAGAAAACACACAAAAAAAGCAAAACAAAAAATGTAAACACGCAGCAATAAAGTAAAATAGTAAACAAAAAAACAAGAAACAAAAACCTGCACACAAATGGCTCCAGTGCGCATGCAACTACCCTCAACGGCGCGTCCACGCAAACAGTTGCATGCATGTCGTGCATATGAGTGTGACTGACACTTTCAACGTGGCGGATAAAGGGAGCAGCAACACGGAGCACACAGCACGGCAGCAGAAGCAAACTAAGCAAAAAACAATCATCATAATTACCCTTACTTTATAAATCGGACCACAGTGGACGTACAAACGTCCCCGTGGTTGAGTGCTGGCACGCACAGCCCGCATACACCTTTCAGCCCAGAGCGGTGCACGCCAGCGCGGATACGGCGAGCAGCAGCGGGGCACACACCCACGCAGAGCTGCTGAGGCTGCCGTCGCTTTCGCGAAGACGTGACGGTGCGCGGGTGGTCGTTGTGGTTGACACTTCTGTAGTCGTAGCCGTATCACCTGGTGTCTTTGTTGTAGTGGTTGTGGTCGTCGTGGTTGGCGCCTCTTTAGATGTAGTAGTAATTGGTGCCTGTGTTGTAGTAGTGGTAGTAGTTGTCGTCGTATTTGGTGTCTGTACCCTATCCTTTTTATTATTTTTGGACTCTTCCGTATTATGCTCCGTATTTTTTTCTACCGTATTATCGGGAATATCCGTCGAACGTGGCAGATCGTTGTTCCCACTTCCTGGCAATGAATGACCAGGCGCTTCTATTTTATCTTGTGTAGTGGACAACGCACCTGATCCCCCTCCCGCAACGGCCGTAACAGGTTGAGCTGAGACACCGGCAATGTCCTGGCTCGAGACTTTAGGGATATTTGAAACTGAATAAATTTTCCCCGGAGTTGGCTCCTTTAGCGGTGTTGGGGGTACATCGGGGGCCATCTTTTTCCCGAAACAACCGCTGTCGTGAAGGCACACGGGC